GGTGTGTGTGTGTGTGTGTGTGTGTGTGTGTCCAAACGTCCCCTTTTCATAAGGACACTTGTCAAACTGAATTACGACTCACCCTGATGACCTAATTTTACTAATTATATCTGCAATGATTTCATTTCTAAATAAGGTGACATTATAAGAGACTGAAGCTTAGGACTTTAAATTATGAATTTGGAGGAACACAATGCAGCTTGTAGCACCTATTGATCACATGCTCCAAAGTTTGGAGCAGTATGCTAGAGATCACACCTAGAATGCAGGGAAGGCCTTAGTTCAAACCCAAGCAAGGGAAGAAAAAAAAAAAAAAAAAAGCAGGAGGAGAAGAAGGTTGACATCGCCCAACCATTTCAGGATAACTGCTAAGTCTCTAAGTAAAGCAGAACCTGGCACCCAAGAGCACAATAAACATTTATTGAATGAATATGTGATCAAGTGGATGAGACTGTAAGTGAGAAACAAGCTCTGGATGTTGAGAGCTTGACAAGGCTAAGTCATTACGGCTGAGTAATGCCTGCCCACAAAAAACTTCGCAGGATTTTGACTGCACCCTGGCCAGTCTACAAAATGCTGTACACTCCATGGACCTCTAACAATTACTGAGTCAAAATCACAAACGTTAAGTCGCAATTGTCAAAACCCACCAAAAAGCATGGAGCTACTAGATATACATTTAAACAATGATTTCTTTTTAAAGTGAAAAATAACAGAGAATCGGAACTAGGCTAGCAAATGGTTTCAGCTGAAGTAGGTCAAAGAATGAATAGAAGCAAAGGTCACCAAGTCAAATGCCACCAGCTGAACATGACAACCCAAAACATCAGCTATCCTTTGCTCTAGCATTAAACTAGGGGTGATTCTTTGTTGCAATCATGTTTTTACTTTAATAACCCAATCGTTCTGGATAAGGCCTAAGATGATGTGCATTATACAGAAAACAGTGTATAACAAGCTTCTATTCTTTTTGCAATAACAATTTTTCAAACTAGCGTCTCAATAGATACGTACATAATAAGGAACTGAAAGTATTCTTTTCTATTTCTGCTAATCATCTCATTCAAACCTATTCACCACAAATTTCCTGGGTGCTTGGCTTTAAAATAATGTATGACTATACACTGGAAATCCAGGCGCTGCATAGGTGTACATTCATTTCAGAGGCAGCATCTTCCAATGCTGAATTATCATCTTCAATTTCCTTCAGTCATTTACTGTAGCTGCCACACTGAAATGGGGCGCCTTAAAGCCAATGCTAAACTGGAATACAAATAAGAGTCTCTTAAATGTTTCATTTATAAAAGCTTATTTTTCCCACCATCAAATTTTGTATACTGTCTAAAATATATCCCTTTGTGAAATTGACATCTTGCACACAGTAACTCTGCCATGATCCATCTCCTAAACCCCAAGGCTGAGTAGGAGGAGGGACAGTAAAATCTAGTACCTTCTTCCTCCCTTTCAAGAACTAGAGCTGATTGGCTTTTAGCTTTGAGAAGAGAATGAAGTTTAAAATTGAGCCTCAACTGCCAACAGCTATCACAATACCTGGTCCTTTCTGGATAGCTTTACTAATCTTTCTGGCTATCTTAAAAACTATGTCATAAAATAAGCACTTCTAAAAGGCACATCAAGTCAGAGAGTGGCTGTTCCATGAAGCACTCTATCACTTTAATAGGACAATAAATCTGTACACACACAAAAAAGAATTTCCTTAAAATACTGCTAATGTGCAATACAAAAGCCAATTAATCAAACAGAACAAATTTACAAAATTCTATTATAGTCCCACACCACATTTCTCCTAAAGAAACTGCTGGTGACAACTGTAAAATGCTAATGTGTAAAATAAACAAACTTTATATTTCTGAAGCTGAAGAGTTTTAGACCAGAATATGAGGAAAGTGGAATGCCTGCATTAGTAAAGTATACTCATATCCCGTTCATATACGTTAGGTTATTACCAAGGTTATTCAGTGAAAGAGCCACTGCACAAGTTTACTACCATATTATTAAGGAAGAAAATGAGACATCAGTGATTTTCTTTCTTCCCTTTACACATGGGTGATGGAAAAAGTACACTGGGTGCTTAAATTTTTTTAAAGTATTACAGTAAAACACATATTGCCATCAATCCCTTTCAAAATACTACACACACACACACACACACACACAAACACACTTCTAACACTTATCCTATCATTCTTGCCACATTCTGAAGCAATTCTGGAAGCCTTACACTATGTCTTTATGAGGTGTGATCAAAAATATAGTGAATGCCACTGAGTGCCCAAGAACACAAAGGCACACTCACAGAAACATTTTGTTTTGATCCACCTTACTTACCAGATCTCGCACTGTGTGATTTCTGACTTCTTCATGGTCAACATGAGCATGAAAGGTAAACATTTTTAATTAATTTAGGACATCAAGGCAGCCATAACAGCACAACTGAAAACAAAGAGGACTTCCAGAACTACTTCAGAAACTGGCAAGGCTGGCAGAATAAGTAAGTTCAAAGCAAGAAGCATTCTGAGGCTTAACTGCAATGTGTCTTTCCCTGTAATAACTGGTTTAATATTCACTGTATTTTTCTATCACACCAGGTATACCAGACTTAGCTATTATATCTGGCTCAGAATTACTATTCAAATCTTTCTCAAAGCCAGAATTTTATTTTATTGTAGAAAATTATAATTTAACCGTACCATAAAATGAATAATTCCGCAAGTATCTTTTTCTCCATTGAAATACTTTAGGAAAAATATCTACAGTTAATACACTGTCCATTTTTGAAGTATTTTCTACATTCTTCTCAATTTTAAAACCCTTCTTTAGAAATTGTACCAGCCCATTTCTAGTAGCTAAGTGGAAGAATTTTTTAATCTGTAGGGTACCTTAAAAACCCCTCAACTTGTCATAACCTCCTATTTCAGGAATGTAAAACATGATTCAAGCTTCAGTTTTTCTCACAAGATATTTTACTTTGCTAAAATGAGTTCCCATCCTGCAACTATGAACAAGAAGAAAATTTTACGTCAAATATTGAGACAAAATCTCATTATTCAGTATTAGATTAATAGTCTATAATTCTGATCTTAAAAATATCTATAGCTGCAACCTCTCCAACTTGTCAATTCCCAAAGAGATTAATAACAGATGTAATTAACACCTAAACTTAGAATGACGGTCATTTGGAACAAACTACGATAACAATAACTACACCACAGTCAAATAGATCAACCTATCACCCTTTATGGTTCTGACTAAGGTTAATGAGCACAATTTGTCATAAATTTTCCAAGAATTCTGAAAGATTAAATTGAAATAAAAGGCTATTTTTTCCTAGTACTTTATAAAAATAAGACATACATTGGAGTTGTCATCTTTGGAATGTGGCACCTAGGACAGTATCTGGCAATATAAACGCCATTCACTAAGTATACTTGTGAAGTGGATAAACAAACAAGTAATCCAATGCATTACTACCGTTCAGCTCCGTGTATGTGCTAAATAGTAAATATTTTTAAGTTATATTTCATAAAATGGAATACACTCAAACTATTTTTGTTTCTATAAAGAAAGAAACATGTCTTATTTACTTAAGAATCTCCAACTTAAGAGTTGGACTTTCAAAAAACAATTAATTTTGGCTGATAAAATTTTCTGTAATTTGTTCATTCAAGCATTTTTCTTTGATATTTAGAAATAAACAGAAATGCAAGCTATGTTTCTTTGCAATAAGCAACACAAAGACATACACACTACATTTGATCTTACTAATAATTTATTCAGGAAGTTACCTTTAAAAATAGTTAGAAATGTGAGAGGATGAAGGTAGGAAAAGGAGAAAGATAACTATTAAATGTTCACAAATGTCCTTCCCCTCCAAAATCTGCCTGACATCAGAGCGACATAAGACGTTCTATATCTATCAGTGTCTTCCTCTTCGTGTATCTAAAAAGAGTTCAACATGCTTGACAAAATCCATTACATTTTAAGATTATTTCCAATATCTGCTACCATAAATCAGGACATCCATTTATTCAAGGTTACTTATGGAGAATTAATCACACTGAAAATTTTAACAACTCCTTTTTCAAAAATTAAAATACTTTACTCTTTTTGGCACCCCTACTCCTCGTGATGTGGATTCAAAGACCGAAAGCATTAAGAGCATACAATTAAGATTCATGGGCTTAGGCATAAATAAGTTTTAATACGTAGAGTTCTCTGTAACAATAGTCTGGAAAAAATAAATCAGAATATAAACACAGTATAATCACTGTTGGGTCTTTCCTCTACTTAAGTGGCATTATGTAACAAAGAGACTTGATCCAAGAAACTAGTATGTACTTGATAGAACCTCAAAACACGTAATCAAAAAAAGCTGAAAAAGGGAGACCAAGAAAACAGAGGAACGAAAACATGGATTTCTCCATTCAGTCTGACTTTGAAATCTATTTCCCTCATTTTGAGGGCTTATTTATTCAAAAGAGAAAATTGCACAAGTCAGCTACACAATATCTAGTCTTTATTAAGAGGGCACAGCCATCAGACCAACATCCAGCCATCAATATACAACTTTATTTCCCACCTAATGTTAATAAGAATACATTTTACCAAGAATTAAAGTACTAAAGTTTTGATTTCATACTTTGAATACCAAAAAAGCAGTAATTTCTACAATGAAAATATGATGAATAAGCTACACAGAAGAAAGTAGATATTTAAGCCAATTCATTCTTAATATCATACAGTAAAATCACATGTATTTAAAATACATTTATTCAGTCTACAGATAGCACACTTTATAACATTATTATTCATTTAAAATAGTACAAATGTTTACAAAGAACATTTAGCTTAAATTTCACAGCTGCTTACAAAATGGTACTTGCAAGGTTAATCTATATAGGCCAGGTGTGGTGGCGCACACCTGTAATCCCAGAACTTGGGAGGCTGAGGCAGGGAGATTACCACAAGTTCAAGGTCAGCCTGGGCTACAAAGTGAGTTCAAGGCCAGCCCAAACTATACAGTGAAACCCTGTCTCAAAAAAACAAAAATGATTGATTTATATAGAGAAGTGACTATCTTGCCAAAAGAGATGGTAAACTATAAATATAAAATATATCACAATGTTAAAAACCTCATGCTCTATAGGAAAATCAATAAAGACAAGTCAGTCTTTTTGTGGGGGAAATACTTAGCACTACAAATTTAAAGTGTAAGTTTACACAGAAATTCAAAAGAGAATAAATGTAAACCTCGCATTGCCACACAATTACCTATGTTGTGAAAACAGTAAGAATGTATTTTTTGAGTATGTGTCCATCAAGGCCGAAAGTTAATTTTTACTTTTTCCTTTATTGGCAGCTTTGGCTGTGTGTTTAGGTTTTGGTTCCCAGAGGGCATTTTTCACAAATCTTGAAGCTGCACCTCTATCCAGCTTGCCAGCCTTTTTCTTGTCCGTTATTTCCTTGACTCGGTTCATGTACACTCTGATTCTCTCCTTAGAGACAAAAAAAAAGAGAGAGAAAGGCAATGGATTTACTGAACTGTTCACCACCACTAAGTTTTATTACACTATTATACTACACCTCAGTTAAATTCAACAGATAAGTATTTATTGCCTATTAAGTGCATGGCGCTAGTAAAAACAAGGGAACAGGATAAACATGCGGCCATGATTTCCAGGAGTTCGCATTCTAGGGGAAATACAGACACTGGAAAGTCATTGTAGAAGTGCTCTGAATGTTTCTAAAGGAAGAAGCATACAGAGACATTACTACACAGATAAAACACTGAGTTGCTTATATGCGGTTTCACATCTTTTTAATTAGCATCAACCCAAATCCACATATTAACTGTATCTGAAGACCAAAATCTAAAGTCTGAGCTCCCACACATGTACAGCACATAAACTAAATTCTGCCATAATTTTTCTAAACAAATAGATGAGGCAGATTTAGCTATTTATCTTTTTACATTCGCGTCTAGTGTCACAATTAAAATAGGAAGAATGAAAACAAGATCTTTTATTCAACTTCATAATTCTGATTGATAAGGGCATGAAATTTTCTAATAAAACATACAGTTCTAATCAGACTTTACAAGGTGAGAAACATAATATGTGGCTGGACCACTCTGAATCTTCGGCGACCATCAATCAGTACAAATGGCTCTGCTATACTTCAAATGGAGAAATAAAGTTGATGAGGGCCATAAAACAGCAGAATAAATGATTGATCCCTGCTTAAAAGCAAGTTTCATTAAAATAATGAAAATAGTTATATAAACATACACAAAGATGTAGGCCCTTAGAACGTTTCCATTGTAAAAGGTTGGCAGATCTATTCAGAACCCTCCCCTGGCTCCTCCCCCTTAGAGTACTGTAGGAGCCACAGTCCTTAAAAACAGTAGATACCAAGGGCAGCGCACACTCACGCCAGCCCTGCCGCAGGGCCTTTGCCCAGCTTACTCTTCTGCCTAGAGTGGTCTTCCTCAAGTATCTACCCAGCCACTCCCTCTTCTCCTGGTCCACTCAAATGTTAACCTTGTCGGTGGGACTCTGACCTCACTGTTTAAAAATATAGTCCTACCCAATCACTCCAATCCTCTTTACCTTGTTCTACATTTCTCCCCATAATACAGAACTTTTTAACATACTACATATTCATGGACTTATGGTGTATTATGTTTATCATTTGTGTCCCTCCACTCCGTATAGGGTGATGTCTGCCACATTCTTCACCTTTGCTCAGTGAAAAAAACATCTCCCTTGGAAATAAAGCCTGGCTCCCAGTAGGAACTCAAATACTTGTTCAGTGAACAAAGTGACTATTTTCAGTGCCTTTCCCCATTTATGATGCATACGGCAAATAGGTTTCCAATCTCACAATAACTCTGTGATCAACTAGTGATGTCTGTCACAAGGTCAGAACACGGAAAAAGGTTTTCGTATGCTTTTTATTTTCAACTTTTACCCAGAATATTTACATATATAAAATTGCCACATTCTGAAGTAATTTTATATATGTAAAGTCCATTTTAGAAAGTTGAAAACAAACAATAAAACCTATATCTCTTAAGGTTTCTTAAGGTTTAAGCCAGTCAAGCCAATATCTGATCATACTGCTTTATGCTTTTGCTGTAAATATTTTTAAAAATGAATTTCTTTTTCCCTCAGGAACTTTAAAAGATAAAATGTCTTAGACCATACATTAAAAAAATGAGAAACAACAGTTTCATTTACTCATTTTTTAAAAATAAATGACCAAGTGCTTTACTGAGTTGTAAATAACACACATATCAATTACCATAAGACCTGAGAATAAGAATACAATGTCAAATGTATTTCACATATATACACCTACTTTATATTGTATAAACATAAAGAATAAATGTATTAATATTCTTATTCATAAAGTCAAGTCAAAAAGGTAACCATAAGTTTGATTTCTAATTTTTCCCTTCAAATTGGATAATTTGATTTAATATCTGAAGTCAGCAGAAACTCCAAGATATCAGACCTTATATACTGTACTTATACATCTAAATGGAATACAAAGACAAACCTACAAGATTTATTACAGGTTGTAAATATGTCACTAACGTAGAATTACTGGACAGTACACATATAGCTGGTGCCAAAAAAGCTTTTAGCTTTGTTGCTGAACTGGATTCTTTACTGCTGAGAAAATGAATTAATGGAGGAATTGAAAAGGTGGGGGAGAAACTTTCCCGTCTTTGCTAGTAAATCAACTGGAATATACTTTTAAGAATTGTGTAAGAGCTAGAAGGAAAAAAGCAGCCCCAGAGATGAACAGGACTTTAAGAATTTATAGGAAAAATAATATGGAAGTTATAAATAATTACTAGAATCATAACATTTTCCCATCCAGATTTATATAATATATGGAACACCAATTCTATGATAAAGGTAAAAGAGAAACCAAACACATGGTGAGATCTGACTCACTCATAATTTCAGCTCTAACTTTGTTCTCCATACTTTGTGTGATAAAGATAATGATAAAGACTGAAATTTTGGGAATAGGATAATAGACAGATAAATAAAAATAAATTAACTAAAATCTTACCAATTCCTGCTTTACTGGATGCTCCTTAGGATTGACTCCTTGAGTTGCCAAATAAACTGTAAGAGAAAGATTTCATGGATAAAATGATGCATATATTAGTAAAAGCATTCTAACAAAGAAACTCTAGTTACTCACAAAAAGGCCAAGTCCCAATGATGGCTAATTAACTTTTACATTACTCAACTTCTATGTATTACTTACAATATTATGTAATACGTGGCGCATGAGTATCTAGTATTCTGATTTAAGAGACAAATAAATGTCTGACTGTGAAATTGCCATAAAGTATATAAATTGCCATTAAGTATATAAATTGCCATAAAGTATATAAATTGCCATTAAGTATATAAATTGCCATAAAGTATATAAATTGTTAACATTTAAAAAATAAATCACACAATAAATTATTAGCTTTGTAATTAACTCCAATGTAATATACATACCCCAAAACATTGAATTTAATGTGTACGCAGAAACTAAATCCACTTTGGCTTGTTCAAGTGGGTCCAACTAATAAAAAAGAAAAAAAAAGAAATAACACAAACTTTGAACACCATCAGATAACACTTTAAACTCTCACAAGGCACAATGTATTAAAGAAATGTCCTATAATCCAATAACCAAATGATCTGGAAATAATTTACAAAAAAGAACTGTTCTTAACCACTGAATTTTTCCCACAGATTTTCACTTCAGGGTATCATCTTTAGTCAGACGAGGGATGTGTATAATCCAAGAAAAATTTTTCTAAATTATTTTAATTTCAGGAGTTATAATCTGGGCTTTCATGTCAAAAGTAATTTTTCAATATAAACACTGCACATGCTGCATTTATGTATAAGAAGCAGGCTAAAATACTTAGGCAGTACCAAAGACAGAGGGAACATAATGAGATTTGTTTTAGACTGTCAAAGTCAATTTACTGCTTTTGTCCTATAGAGTTTCCAGAAACCCTGATAACATCATTGTAATACTTAAAAGGTCAAAGATAGAATCTGTCAAAAAGAATGCTGTGCGTGCTCCTTATTTTTCAAAACCAAGACAAAATAAAAATATAGTTAGGAAGTAATGTTTAACGCTGGATTTTTTTGTTTGGGTTTTTTGTCCCTTAAAATCTTCAAACACTTATAAAATTGAAACAAAGGGACAAAAAAGCATAAATCACAAATTTATTTTTTCTATATGTGTCATAAAGCAGCACTCTGTGTTATGAAATCATTTTTAGGAATTACATTCTTTAATACCTTCTGTAACAGCTCATTTCTTGAAACAGACATCATGGTCTTCAGCATCTCATCCACAGCACCTATGGAATTCTCAAACGTTGACAAGTACTCGTGAATTTCTACTGGATAGTCTTCGCTAATTTCTTCACCTGCCATTATGACCAACTGGAAAGAAATAAATTCTTAGAATTCATATCAGAGACAGAAGTTGTTCTTCAGTGTACCAAAAACTCAAATTTTAATTTATTTCAAAACCATTTAAAGAGTTAAAGCATAAAGATAATTACACAAATGTTCCTAGAATACAATTCTAGAGCAACTATCGTCCAACCTCCCCTGTTCTTAAGCTGTCTGGGGAGAAAAGACCCCACCCAAATCTACTAACAATGCAAACTCTCAATACTTTTAATGTATTAAAAACAGGATTACAAACATGAGATATTAATAATCAAAACTCTACATTGGAAAAACTTTCTGTTCAGGTTAAACACCAAAAAAAAGCAAGTCTGATAAATACATCCCTAATATCTGCTGAAGAAATAAGCAAAGTGTGTGTGGTGAAAAGTTAATATATTTTAGTCTTTCTAAATTTAGGTATTGATCTAGTGGATGCTATATTAAGCTAAAAAAAAAAAGAAATCTTAGGTATGAGAAATCTTGATCATTTATCACTAAAATTATTTTTCCAGCCCATGTATATTTATATTTATATTCCTTAAGCTTCTTTAAAATATTAATAAGAAATTCAGACAATCCATAAATCACATAAAGTCTACAAGCAGAGAAGAGGAAATGTGGGAAAAATAAACTATCTGGTTTTCATTTAAGGTAGAGCATACTCTGACAGCCTTTCTTTTAAAATTCACATTTATATCATAATAATCAATATGCAGAAAACAGTAAAATTCACACAATGCATAAGATAAAGTATCTAAGACAAAATTTCAGAAGCAATTCCAAGACATACGCAATATCGTTAGGTTAAAAAAAAAACTTTAGCAAAAATATCTCCTCTGTTATATGGCTAAAAAGAACAGCAATAATGTGGTTAGTGGCATATAGCATAGCAGGATGGAAGTAAAGAGATGGCTTTCCACCTTGCTTGATCACTGACTTTGTCACCTTAGATAAATCAATGAATCTCTCTGGGCCTCAAATTCCTCATCCATAAAATAAGGCAGTTGGTCTAATGATCTGTAAAGTGCCTCATAGTTCTAAATGTTACGGTATGTCTTTTAAATTTTAAAAGTACTATTTGAATATTTAGTCACAACGTATCAACATTTCCTCTCAATAAGTATATTTCCCTGCGACATCTGGCTTCATTTTTAAAAAATAGCGACGCCCATCTATCACTACTTGAGCTGTAGCCAACAAACGCCCAAGCAGCAATTAAACAAAGTTTAAACTACTATCCAACTAATGATTCAACTAGCAATTAAACAAAAGACTATAATAATTACCAAGAAAACCATTCAGGAGAGAAATGTGATTCCTATTTCAAAGGTTAGCTGAAAATATACATTTGTCTCTCAAAATGATCCAAAATGACAGAAAATCTAAAATCATATACAAATAAAATGTGAAAATGAAAATGGCACATACACATCAGCTGACCTGAACAGTAGGCAAGCTCAAACTGAGAGGAAACAGTCAAGGAACGTGATAAACAAGAGAACCAGAATCTAAGACTACCCCAAGATCAAGGGACCGAAGAGGCTGAAAACAGCTAAATTAATCTCCAGGTTTGTGAAAGAAGAGATGACTCCAGCATTCCCTGCCCAGATAAAGGTGTCAGGACAATGATCTACTATATAAACAGAGAAGACAGATTTCCTCTTTTTATGTGGAACTTGAAACCAATAAATTTGAAAATGTGGATGATAACAAAGGTATTCTGGGGGAAAATTCAATTACTAAAACTAAAAAGAATTATACAGACTATTAACCAAAAAAAAAAAAAAAAAAAAGTAGACAAAGACCTCCAAAAAGGCTCCAGGCCTAAAAGATTTTGTAATCAACTTCTAAACTTTTAAAAAACAATTAATTCCTACAATACTTCACTGTACATAGCTAAATGGGCTACTGGAAGGTGGTGAAAACTGTAGGAAGTCCAGCCTCGTTGGAGGAAGCTGGTCACTTGGGCCGTAGCCTGGAAAGGTGTATCTTGTTAGACCCTTCTCTCTCTCGCCTTCTCCCTCTCTGCTTCCTGGCTAGCCTTACGTGAGCAGCTTTCCTCCCCGTCGCTCTTGCTTCACGATGCTCTGCTTTGCCTCAGGCCCAAAGTAATAAAACCAGCCAACCAGGCACCAAATCTTCTGAAACTATCAGCCAAAATAAACCCTTCCTCCTTGTAAGCTGTCAGTGTATTTTATCACAGCAATGGAAAGCCATTTAACACAGATGCAAATAATTTTTAGGATTAGGGATGTGCCATGTTAGCAAAGGTATACACTAAAGGTAAAATATAAATTGGTACAGATCTTTCTAGCGCACATACCCTTTGATTCAGGAAATTCTTTTAAGAATCCACTCCACAAAAATCCTTATACATATGCACACAAATTTATTAAGATGGATTTCTCAAACTCCTCCCAGAATTTCTTCTACTGTCTCACATCAGTTTTTCTCTTTGCTAGATCATTATCCCTAAAATAAGATATTTTATTTCTCCACCTGACACAAGACATAGAGAAAGCATCCTCACTTTGTATCCTCCTCTCTTACAGTTTGGATCTTAAATGTTCCCTCAAGGCTCATGTATTGAAGGCTGGGTCCCTAGCAGCAGTGTTCCTGGAAGTGGTAGAACCTCTAAGAGAAGTGACCTAGTGTAAGAAAGTTAGGTCCCCAGGGGCACACCCTTGATGAGATGTTAGGACTCCAGACTGGATTCCTCCACAAGGTAAGATTAAGCACCTCCACACACACTCCCCACCATGATGTCCTGCTTCACATAGGCCCAAAAGGAATCCAGCCACGTATCCACAGACTGAAAATTCGGAAACTGTGAGCCAAAATAAATCTTTTTTTCTTATGAGTTATCTTGGATATTTTGGTATAGCAATGGAAAGCTAATTCAACCTCCAGCTAAAACCCTATTCCTCTCTCTTAGAACAAACTCAGAAAGGTTGCTTATATTGTCTATAACTCTCCTTTTATTTTCTCAGAAGCCCTACAAATAGGCCCCCTACTTTTTACTTAAAATTGCCCATCAAGATCACCATCCCCATCACACTGTTACTTCAATGGCCGATTATCATTTCTTATTACTTGACATCACTGACTCTTTGCCCTTGCTCCCCAGACAACACATTTTCTTAGCTCCTCTTCCTCACTGGCTGCTTTCTTGGTCTCTTTGATGCATTTTCATACTCTCAGCCTCCACCTTAAAGGGCCCAAAGGTTGTCCTTAACTTTCTTTGCTTTTCTAATTTACTCTGAGGTGAGCTCAGGGCTTTATATTGCATTAATGCACTGATGACTCCCAAGTTTGTTTCTCCAGCCCTGACCTCTCCAATTAACTCTAAATTTATATCTCCAACTGCTTGCTCTCTGTCTCTCATAGTGTCTAACAAATTCTCAAATGTAGCCTGCTCAAAGCCCCATTCCTAATCTTGTCTACTGCAGTCTTCCTCGTCCCATTTCACAGCAACTTTCCAATTATTTTCACTCACTTTCTAATTATTCAGACACAAAACTTGAGAGAAATCCTTCACTATTTTCTCTTAATCTTCAAAACATATCCAAAATCTACTATCACCATGCTCCAAACCACCAGCATGATTTGTCTGGACTCCTGCATTAACCACCTACATGACCTCTTTGCTTCCAGCTAGACAGTGTAAAAAAGGGAGACCCCAGCCTCCAGAGAACTTGCCACAGTTCTAGAGATAGGCGCAGACAGACAACCAAGCGAGGTACTAAACAGGCCCATCAGAGGATATGGAGCTTCTTTTATGTTTTTGTGTGTTAGTTACTTATATTAATTACGGTCAGAATTTAAATTATTGGTGGAAACTTGTACCCGGTGATATGTGCACATTTGCAGGTGGATATATATATTTTTCCCTGGTTACACGGGTAGAAAGAATTAATTACATGTGAGCCAGAATAAGAAATTAGAGCTGATATCTGCAGAGGTTATTGCTTTTCTCTGTTTAGTATGTCTTGAGGGAAAAAGTATTTTACAGGCAAATAATTTTAGATACTAATACTCTTGAATTTTTTCAGTATGTATTAAAACAAATTAGGGGCTGTGAGAGGTCCTTTCAATCAAAAAGTTGTTTGCCTTAAAAAAAAAAAAAAAAAAACACAGAAAGATCTTTCTCAGAGGGAAAAGGGATCAAGAGATAGAAGGAAGGTGGAGGGAGGGAAGGAAAAGGGGATGAAAAAAAGGAATTAAGATGTGTTTACAAGTACCAACTCCACATAAGCAATGTAAACATATCCCGCAAACATGTACAAAAAAAGAAAAAAGAAAAGAAAAGAGCAGCAAGCGATGGGTAGAGAAGAAAAGGAGGGAATGAAGGAGAGAAAAGGGATAAAAAAAATCCCTGTCACCTTCTGTGACTTTATCACCTCCCCCTCTACCATCCTCATTTCAGTCCAGCTACAACAGTATTACTCCGCAGTGCTCTTCTACCATCACATCAAGAACTGTGCCTACCTCGGGCCTTTGTATTTCTTCCCTCTTTCCCAGAGTACTCTTCCTCTCCTCCACCCCAACCAACAGCGTCACAACTCAGTATTTTACCCTCACCAGATCTGTGCTCAAATGTCACCTGTTAAACCTTTTCTGCCCACATCACAACACAAATAGCCCGACAAACATATAATAAACCCTCTGATGAAAGGCAATGTAACATACACAGCCTCATTGGTGAAGGATACTCTGAATTTAACTAAGCCTTGAAAACTAATTTGCATTTCATAAAAATTTAGTGGATAAGGGCCTGGATTTAGCTCCACAGCACAGCGCCTGCCTGGCAAGCACAAGGTCCTGAGTTCAATTCCTGGTACCAAAAAAAAAAGAAAGAAAAATATAGTGGATAGAGAAACAAGCTAATGCCATAAGGAAGCCAAGAGACAAACCTGGAATGAGAATTACTCTATAGGACAAATGACTAGGTTTCTGTAACAGGGCAATGAAAAGAAGAAAAAAATAAAGAAAACAGAGGGAATGTAAGGAAGAGATTAAGAAGATTCAGGAAACAAAACAACCAAATAAAACGTGTAGAATCTGTTTGAATCTTCATTCAGGTAAGTCAAGTGTAAAAAGATATTTTTGAGAGAAGGAAATCTGAACATGGACCAGGTTATTAGATAATACCAAGAAGTTACTGATACTTTTATCATCTGTGAAAATGGCGTCAATACATATACAAGAAAATGTCCCTGTCTTTAAGAATGCATACTCAAATACACAGGGTAAAATTACATAACACTTTGAATTTCCTTTAAAAGAAAAAACTAGACTTCGTTGATTAAATTTTGAAGGCAAAGAACCTTATGTACATTATTTCTATAGTGAAGTTAAACATTTAGATCACAAATTAACTTTTAGAATACAAATCAATTCATAATTTTAAAAATATCTAAAAAGAAAGGTGTAGTCTAGAATATTTAAGCAGCTCTATTACAGCTCAATATTCCAAACATAGCTGGGGTAATGGAGAGTAAGGTTACTTGGTGCTCACCCCATCTATGATAACTGCTGAACCAAATATAAAAAACAAAACAGAGTCTGTGACCTCAAATGAAGACTGTATTACTAACATTTCCAATGAAGGCTGACATTCCAGAGTGTCTGTTTCAAAAATATCACACATTTCCTTCAAAAACATTCTGACTTGCTTCCTTTTTCCTTTCTTCTCTCATTTCCCTGGTGCTAAATCCAGGGTTCTTGCATGCTAGGTGTACTTTACCAATGAGCTGCACCTCTACCCCAAAACATCTTAATTTCCCACATTCTTACCTGGCCCTTAAAAATATATACATGCACCCTTTTTTTACAGCAGTGCAATGTACAATACCTAAATTATGGAAAGAGCCTAGATGCCCATCAACTTATAGATGGAAAATACATATATAGGTACACATATACATATACGTGTGTGTGTGTGTGTGTGTGTGTGTGTGTGTGTGTGTATTTCACCATAAAGAAAAATAAATTTCAGTCTTTTTAGGAAAATGGACGGATGAACCTTAATGTTAAGACCATAATGTTAAGTAAAATAAATCAGACACAAAAGATTAAATATCTTTTAATATCTTCTTAAAGAAGAAACCCAAAATATAAACAATTTAAAAAACAAAATAAAAGAGAGATGGTAAGAAACGAGGAGGCACACTTTTTGTAGATGGGGAAAAGAAAGTACAAAAGAGGGAAAGGGAAAGGGGTCACAGGGCAAAGGGGATCAAAAATGATCAAGATACAATCTATATGTGCCAATTCACTAAAACTAATATAAATTACTATGTATCACAAAAATATACTTGTAAAATAATAAATAAAAATGCATACATTTGAAAATAAACACATCATGTCTAAAGTCAAAATAACAACCAAAGATATTTTCTACACAAAAATGGATTTAAAAGGAGCCCCTACAAATGAATTTAAGAAAAAAAATACAATCCCCTCAAAAAAAATAGGCCAAAAAAATAAATAAATAAAAGAACCCAGATGGTCAACAAGCATTAAGAAACTACTCAACCTTATTAATATTTAAGAAAACAAATCACCAAAGCAAAATGCCATTTTTTACTTGTCAAGAAGGCAAAACATTTTGTAAAAGACTGACAGTATCTAAAGTGGGCAAGAGCCAGGTGTGGTGACACACGCCTGTAATCCCAGTACTTGCAAGGCTGAGGCAGGAGGATTGCTAAGAGTTCAAGGCCAGCCTGGGCTACATGGTGAGTTCAAGGCCAGCATGAACTGCACAGTGAGACTTTGTCTCCAAAAATACAAAAATAAATAAATAAATAAAGTGGGCAAAAGTGAATAGAGTGTACTATTAGTCAGAGTATAAATTAATTAAATTCTGCATGTTTTTTATTACACTTAAAAAGTATGTATGAATGTATTCTTTGACCTAAGTATTTCACTTCTCAAAGTGTATATTTTCATGCGAGATAATAATCTTTAAAATAACAAAACTAAAATAGGCAACAATCTGCATGCCTACTAATGGGGACTGGTTAAATAAATTATGATATATCCATCCAATAAAATATTCTGCAGTAGTGAAAAAGCATTAAGTGGAGCTTAATATTCCTAAAATATATTAAGTGAACAAAAAAGCTGAAGAATAGCATATATAATATATCCCACTATTTTTAAGAAAATAAGGTATAAGTATGGGGTCATGCTTATTACCACGGTTTGAATAAGTGCCCCCCAAAGGCTTAGGTATAAAGGCTTGGTCTCCAGCCCATGACACTATAGGGAGGTGGTAGAGTCTTTAAAAGAGATAGGGCCCAGTTAGCAGTCTTACAGTCAAGAGGGAGATGCCCTCAAAGAGGACTGTGGGAGCCTGGATTCTTCCCCCTCTGTCTATTTCTTGGTCCCCATGAGGTGAGCAGCCTCCACCACCATGGACTCTACCATTATGTTGTGCCTTACAACAAACAGGTCCCAAAGCAACAGACCAAAAGAACTATGGACTGAAACCTCCAAAACTGGAGCCAAAATAAGCTTTCCTTCTTCTCCAGTTGACTTACTTCAGGTTTTTGATACAGGAACAAAAGGTAACATACTTGTTTATGCATAAGGTTTTTCTTAAAGGATACAAAAGTTAACTGTAGGTATTTCTCAAAGTGTAATTGCAGGAAGATGGAGAAGAAACATTTTGTTACCTCTCAATTATGACTTTAAGTGATTTATGTGATATATTATAACATGTCTATACATAAAAATTTCAAAGATCTCAAATGTTGAAATTTAGTCCTCAATGTGCAGTACAGTATCATTTTTCCTCAAGTAGCAGCTACAATATATTCTTAAGCTGTATTCAAAGAAATGCGTTCCCTTCCCTGCATGTAAATTTTCTAGCCCCCATGAAGCTATTTTCTCCCTATTATGGTACAAAAGGCTCAACTGGCCTCCCTTGCTACATGGTCCTACCTCCCAGTCAGCCTTTGCAAAGATGCTTTTGCAAGTCTTTATCTTTTGTTTGTGCCTACTCGCCAATTCTCAGGCGCAGGTAACCATTCCAACTCTCAGCCTATTGGATATTCACAAAAGGCTCGTATTACTGCTACCCAACCTCACCTGGAACCTCTCTCCATTACATGACAATTCCTTCCATGATCCTTGACTCCCCCTCAGCACATATTGCACAATGTCATACAAATGAATAACATTTGCTGATCATTAGCCAAACACCAGTCACTAGGGATTCTCTTGTTAAATACCACCTAGTCACTGACAACTCCCAAATGTTTGTTCCCAGCTATGACCATTCCACTGCACTCCAAGGTCATATAAACTGCCTGCTCAACATTTCCATTTCAGCCGGGTGTGATGGCATACGCCTGTAATACCAGCACTGGGGAGTCTGAGACAGGAGGATCACTGTGAAGCCAGCCTGGGCTACAAAGTGAGTTCAAGGCCAGCCTGGACTACATAGAGAGACCCGGTCTCCATAAATCAATCAATCAGTAAATAAATAAACCCAACTGGACAATCTTGTCTTTAAAAAAAAATTTTCCATTTGGATGACTAATAGATATCTTACACTTAACATGTCATAACTGAACCCCTAATCTTCTCCCATAAGCCTATACCTCCCACAGTTTTCCATGTTTGTTAAGGGCAATTCCATTCTTCTAGTTGTTCAAGCTCTAAGTTTTGACAATTACCTCATACTCAAACCCACATTCCATCCATAAGCAAATCCTGTTGGCTTTACCAAAAAATCACATCCAGAATTGAACTGCTATTCACCACCTTCACTTCTTTCCCTCTTATTAAGATGCTATCATTTCATCTGAATTATTACAACACCTTCCCAATTAGTCTCCTGGCTTTCCTCTACCCTTCCTTTCAAGAAACTATTCTTAACATAGCAACCACAGTAACCTTGTTAAAACCTAAATCTGATCACACCACTCCTCTAGTCAGAACTGTCCATTAGTTATTTACTCACTAAGCTCTTCAAGGTAATTATACCTAAAGCAAAAACAATAGCTTGTGCAGATTAAGTAAATAATATAGGTGTATTGACTAGCACAGTGCCTGGCTACCACTTAAAACATTGGCTGGTAATATTAATCATTATTTTACTGACGTGAAAATGATCAAAAAAAAAATCCTAATCCAATGTGGGCTGTTTAGAGCCACGCTGGAAGGGTCAAACGTTCGGAAACAGAGGCTGAGCTAACATATACGAAGAGCTGTTTGAAAAGTTAAAAGGAGTTCAGTAAAAAGTTTACCACCTCAGAATTGATATACAAAATACAGCTATTTGAAAGTTAGTTTAACATCTTCTGACTCTAAGAACTTTGTTTTATTTTGAAATCCACTGCTCACACTGTCATTATTTTATATTCCAACAAAACAATGAATTATTTCCACCAACTACACGAAAAAACGATCTCAGAGAGGCATAGCAGGGCCAAATAGTCCTAATCAGACTATCTGTAATCAAAAACATTTTACTTCCCTATTTCTCCTTCCACTTCAGCCTTCACACAGTTTGAAGTCAGCTTTAAGTTGTAACGTTGTGTATTTTTATTTATCGCCGCCCAAAATTTGAGTGGATGCAGAATTAACAAACGAAGAACAAGAGACAGACTGAACAAGAGACAGAGAAATGAGAGACCTGGCTAAATCAAAGTCAGCCAGCAGTCATAAGAGAAAGTGGGGGGTCCTGAAACTATGCTCCCCGTAACACTCAGCTGCCAAGATCTCATTCCCAGAAGCCCACGCAGGCCCACCCCACTCCTACTCTGGCCAAAGACGAAAGAGTAATCCAAGGACAGAAGAAGTGGGCCTTCGCAGAAGCACGAAAACAACTCCACCAGCTTTGAATAATACCTCTGACACCTTGGAGTCCCGGCTCCCGAAAAACGGTCGTGGGATGATGACGTCAACGACGCGCCGGTTCTGGCTGCAGCGGAAGCGTCGCGCTCTGATGGCCTCACGCTGATCGCTCACCCTTTCGGTTGTTTTTCCCCCGGCTCTGAAATGCAGAGCTCTTGAGGGTAAAAATATAGAACGAGTGTGAGTAGAGGCGCTGGACGCCTTTATGTAGATTTGGTAGGCTATCACCCACCCCAAATACTAACTGAGCATACTTAAGTAAAAAAGAATATTAATAAAGTTTTGGTCACGTTTTTACTTTGGCTGAAGTGCCTTTCGGGGCCCTACTACATTCTTTATCTACCGCATAATTAGGTTTCTAGAGCAGCTTCCCAAATTATTCCTGAAAAGAAAAGTCAAATTGTTTAGTTTTTCAGCCCATCTCTGAGATGCTTTTGTAAAATACAGTAAAAATGGATGCTAGGAAAATGAAATGTGGAAAATATAAACTTAGGTTTTTAGTTACTAGTTTTAATACAGGTAAAATTGCATTTTGGTAAACAGAATCAAGACAAACAGAAAAAAGAGTCACAAAAACTATACTTAGTGTTCACATTGCATTGTTTGATACTCGTCACTTTTTATCGTCCCCGTCAGAATTTTTTAAAAAAATGTATAAACAAATACTAATTCAGATGCTGTATTTTACACCTATAAAAGCACTTTGAGCAATCGCTGTATATGCCAGTTCCACAAGTTCTTAAAATGACAAATGAGCTCTGTTCCTGGTTTGTTACTCTATAGTTAGTTAAAGATGCAGCTTCTTGCAGTGTTTTCGAGGATAACGTGTATTTTGAATGTTTTTATTTTATACTATGGTATAGAATTAAGTTTCATGTAGCTATGCTGATGGGATAAATCTTAAAACTGTTTCAGCAAGTTTAGAATATTCATTTTTAACTTTCCAAATTTTCAAACTATGCCATATTTTCAAAATTTATCCGTTCTTCATCAGTCGCCACTTTCAACAATTTAGCAGGACAAGATACAGTACTATCAGGTTCTGAGTTATTCAGGGTTCAGGTTTCCAGATCTCAACCTGGTGAAGGTTTGCATCCAATTCCCAAAGAGTGATCTACAGATATCTTCACAAAGATATATGTGCAGAAATTCATAATAATCACTTAGAAGCTTTTATAGTAATTGGTTCCTTCAGAAAAAAAACTAATATGGACTGAGGAGTAGCAGAAGATAGGGACAGAAGTCTCTGAAAGAAAGAGGAAGCAGCCTCGGATCATGATGCACATGTGACACACAGATCTGCTAACCCAGTAGTGACCTACGGCACAAAGAGTGCTCCTCAGAGAAGATCACCAATGGCAGAAACGACCAGTTCTTCTCTACGTTCAGTCATTAAACTGCCCTCCCTTTGTGTTCAGTCAATTGTAGAGGCTGCCTTTCAAGAGTGTGGCTTCATCTTGAAAGCTGAGGCCGATCCTGAGATACTGCTAAGTGGAAGTATATAGCTAACTGCACTCCTGATAATTCCATGATTTGCTCAATAAATATTTACTTACTCCGTTTGTCTTACTTTTTTCTCATTTCTGAGACAAAACACCTGACACCCAAAATTAAAGAGGGAAAGGTTTATTTTGCTCACAGTTTGTAGAGGTTTCAGTCCATACACAGCTGGCTCCAAGGCAGAGGGCAACAGTTCATGGCAGCAGAAAACAGCAAAAGCAGCAAGAGCAAAAAGGGAGTGGCAGCAGAAAGCAATCCTCTTTCCCTCCTTTATATTGTATGCAGGCTACCCACCCTAGGGTGGGTGGAGCACTCACACCCATAATCCCAGCACTGGACCATGAGTCAATCATAAGCTCTAGAAGCCCACCCCATGATTGCTCCATGTGACACTTCTGATGGTTGTAGCTCCCATGGCTTCTCTCTTGAGTCCTCTCTACTTTCTCTTTGTAGTTGTCTTCAGACAGTCCACGTTCCTGGCTTCTCCAAACTTCTGGGGTCTCCACTGCACCTTTCACTTCACACTCACAGTTTCACACACTGCCCCCTCAGGGGCACACTGTCTGGCCTCCCAGGACTTCTGAAATCTAGGTGGAAGCCTTAACCTCAGAACTCTAGCATTCTGCATGCACCTAAAACCAGC